GGAAACTGATACGGTTTTCAGTTTCTTCTCACAGTCAGTAGCTCCCAATTATCTTGAGGGAAGCTGGGTATTTAACATATATTGAATTATGAAGACTGTTACTTACAATTAGCTGCTTCAAGCCTACAAACGACTGTTCTACGGAGTTGGCATTTAAAACTTGTCTCTTCACTGCAGCTTGCTCCCCCAAGAAGCGAAGCATTAAGTCTTTTACCGCATCTCCCTTGGTGTTCATGGAACAGAAAAAGGAGAATCATAACAAGACACTTTTAAACATTATTTTAGCAAAATAAAACGTTGAATTAAAGCTGAGCAACATAGTCCTTTCCCCTTGAGAAATGCTTATTTTCCAGTACTTTTAGTGTGAAATGAATATAAATGTATATATGTTTACAGCATTGTAATGAAAACTTCTAGATTTACTCCACATTATTTGCTATATTCTTTTTTTCAACGTTTAGATTTCTGTTAGCATAGAAACATTCAGGCTTATTTGCTTCTCATGATTATCCTTCAAAGATCTGACAAAATACTCCTCAAAAAATGTAAAAACCAGTAAGTTTTATGTGTTTTCAAATTGATATTAATGTTGAAAGGTGTAACCTACTGATGGAAGATAAACGTGCATATGATCAGCCTTAAGTAGCCACAGAAAAACTTTAAGAGACCATAAACCCACGAGAACAGCAACCCTTTAACAAGTATGCTTAATTTCAAAAGAATTAATTGCAGGAATCATCAGAGATCGTAACCTTGGAGAAATTGGGTTATCTGAGCTAAGTAACTTCAGACTTGAGACTAGTTGAGACAGATGTTCAAACAGATTTCTAAAGATAAACAAGATTAATTCTAGATTTTATGATATGAAGCAGCTAAGAAGAAGAGTGTCCAAATGCAGGTTCTTTTTCCAGCTTTGCTAGCAACTAACTGAGTAACTGATATGATGCCCCCTGTGCCTCAATTTCCCCTTTAATCTTTGTTCAATCATCGATTTCTGTGCCTTCGCATCTGTTGGCTGACATCCTTACGGTTCTGTGTACTAGAGCTTTTCAACAGATAATAAAGAAATTCAAGCTGAATGTCAAGCAGCTACTGAAAAATTGTGGACAACACACTGAAAATTATGCTACTGTCTGCACACTCTTCAGGCACCATGTCTACTAAGACAGAGTGTAGGACAGGGTACGGGGGCAGTATGTCCCTGGTTCTTGCTGGGACTGTACACATTACTGTATGCAAGAGAATCCTTTTATGGTGTTAGAAATCACCACATGCCAAAAGCAGGTAACAGAAATTACTTCTGTAAGATTTTCCCCAATCTTACGTTTTTATGCATTTTTAATCTGGAAAATAAATAGAAAAATGTATTAATAAAAACATTAATAGACAAATTTTAAATCATTATTGCTTTTGTAAGCCAAAAGGTCCTCTTCCTTTTAGCTACCACTCACCAGAGAGAACCTCTGCACTCCTCACCATTCCTCTGCAATTTGTTTTAATTCCATGATGGCTTTTCAGACCAGTGGTAATTAGAACAGCATGCAACATTTAACACGGTAAAGCGGAAAGTGACTATGCAAAAATGTAAGCATATAATGGAATATTTGCAAAGATTCCTCTAAAGAAACACAAAAGCATTCACATGAAGAACTGAGGTAGGAAGCTGTCAGCACAAAGAGCAGGAAGCAAGCCACAAAGCCTTTTGCCTAAAACAAGGTGAGCTACATAAAATACAGTACAGCTTAGCAATGATAAAGATAATTGATATTAAATGTTTGCACTTTCCCCAGGGACAGTGATGGGAAATATGTTTGTATTTTCTGTCTAGTTTCTTGAGGAATGAGACTGCAACTACTGTTTCATTACGTTGAATATTTTTACCTCTAATGCTGTCCCTTATTCTATGAACAAAGAAAGATTTCCATCTTTTGAAGAGAAGAGTCTTGAAGGATTAAGAAAAGACAGCATGTGCAAAATGACATGAATACAAAAGAATTTCTAATTCCCTCTCCCCCCCCCCCCCCCCATGGAGGAGGAAACATTACAAATGAATGCAATGAAACAAAGGACATAATGACAGCAGACAGTAACTGATGAAGAAAGGCATAATGAAAAGGGCATAGAAAGCAGTATTCCAACTTATTTCCACATTCAGGGAGCATGGGTAGAGATAAGCTGCACCATCTGCAATTCAAGCCAGTTTAAAAAAGAATGTTTCTTGAATGATCAGCAAGAGGTAGCACGCAGCTGAAATCGAGTACATTTAGTATTTTTCTTGGTGTGATTTAGCCACTTAACTTTTAAGACAAGACACTTATAATAGGAACAAACACTTTCTGAGTGAGCAGGGGAAAAAAAACCCAAATCACTGAGCTCTTCAATACCTCACACAAAATTTCGGTCCTTCCTTGAAGCACACTTAAGAGTTCACATGAAATGCATTTTTCAACTAATGTCTTTGTCTACCTGCATAAACGTTTGGCATTAGCGAACCATTCAGACCATTGTTGGAAGCTGCTTTAACATTGAAAACATGCCTCCCACAATGTTTTAGTTGACACTTCAAGTACTCTACAATTATAGTTTCAGTTAAATACACAATTTGCAGTACTAGAAGCATAATGAACAATGATACCAAACCAGGGGTTGTCAGGTCAGTCAAGGCATGTACTCAGGCCACTGAAAAGCAGTAACTGGAAGTGAGTAAAGTTGCATAAACATAAAGCACTTCAAAACTTGCCCCTGCTGATATGCCTATGGGACTGCTTATAAATTATAATCAATGAAGAAAGCAGCAGGA